TTTTAAAATTTTTATTTTATTGTGGTAAGAACACTCAACATGAGATCTACTTTCTTCATCAATGTTTAGCTATACACTTGTGGGCTACATTAAATGCTGGGTTTGCTAGGATTCCTCTGACAGGTCACTTGAACCTTTTTCTTATTTCATTTTCTCTGAAATAGGATAGTCTCTTAGTATCTATTCAAGCAATAGAAGAAAAATGAACATAAAACCACTTTGTAAAGTTTTATAAGTTAATTAACATATGTTAAGAAAATATCAACCATTGACCAATCATTACAATATACATTTCATTTTTGAAAAGCAATTTTGTTACTCCAAAAGTGGATTATAAAGTAATGGCAAACTTTAGATTGAGTGAAAGAATAATATATTAGGCTTGGTTAAATTTTATATTTTTGGTATCTAAGAACATGGATGTAAGCATTTACCCACGTATTGTTGACCAACAATTATATCCTCTATACTCAAATGAAGAAGTAGTATTGCATTCAAATTGGTGATGTTGAGTATGGTCTTACTGTTTCTATTTCTAATGTGGTTCCAGCCATATGAAAATAAAAGAAAGATTCAAATTACCTTTTATATGAAAAATTTGAGCTCAGTCCAGAGCCCATCAGATGAGCCATCAGGGACACATTTCTCTATATTCATCTATCTTCCCATTTTATGAGAACTAAAAGCCTAATCAATAATTTAACAAGCTAATGGACATATTTTTAAACACAATGGACTCATTCTGAAAAGGAGCACAGTGTCAGAGCCACAGAGGCAAAAGTGGAAACTGACTGCTAATATTTAATTCTTATCTTGAAAAATACTGTGTTATGACATGAGGACAGAGCAAGCTGGTTTACAGCAGGGTGGATACCCTCCTGCTCAGCACAGCTATTGCTTCTCTCTGTATTTGTTACTGTGCTTTGTCCTATGAGCCACAGCACAGGTCTGACTACTCTGAAAATGATTGATTTAAGCAATATAACACACCTAAATGTTCAAATATATAATGTGTATTTTAGCTAAAAATATAATCTTTAAAGACAGTTTTAAATCATAATCAACAATACTGTAAAATATATTCATTTAATTTATTCTACAATTTACAATCACATCGTATCATCATGAAAATAGGAACAGCAGGAAAACTATTCTGGTATTGGCAATAAAATATTTGAACTTACGGTAGAGAATTTTGATGTTTTATTTTAGAGAAAATGAAGCTTTGGGTTTTCATTTCATTTTTCTTTCCCTTCTTCTTATATTTTCTTCATTAGCAACTTCATCCAAGAGGCAAAAATAAAATGTTATTTTATAAAATGTTATCAACAGCAACTGTGTCAATTTCAGTGAAAGACTGAAGGAGGGCCACTTGCCCACGTTTATTTACGTTCATCCCATAAATCTCATTCATTTATGTTCATCCTGTTTGTTGTAATGGCCATGCTTTTACCCTTAGTTAAGAATTATCCATAGAGTTTAGTTATATTTACCTAATTTTCTCTTATCAAGATTTAGACATTACTTTTTCTAAGAACTCCCTTTTCCTTGGACCATAGAAACATCATTAAGTGGATCTGTTCCGTAGGTTATATCTTTTCAAATTTGGTGTTATGTATATTCTATCTGGCAATCAGGTTAATGGCTTCAAACCACATCTATTCTTAATTTGTCTCCTCATGCTCTCTGAAATAGGTTTTTATTTTAAACAAGCCATTTCCCCAGAATTACTAAGAGTAAAATGCTCTGTCTGCACAATAGGTGCTTTTAGCAAGCCAAATATGCACGGTTAAGCTGTGCTTGCAGAATTGTTTTTCTTAAAGTGCAGTCAATTGACCATATACCAGCACTAATTTGTTTCTAACCAGTAAGGCTTCCCCATACAGCAGCGATTGCAACTGCCCTGGCCAGGGCACTTGTGTTTGTTTTCAGCAAAGGAAAATTTAAATGTAACACCATGGGTCAACCGGGAACCACACAGCACCTCCAGATGCTGCTTTCTTCCAAAGACATGTTACCATTTGCCCTGCATAAAGTTTTATGCTTCCCTCATAAAACAAGGTTTATTCTCCTAAGAAAAATCTTGAAAAATTACTTAAAACTAGTCTGCTGCAAAAATCTATTAATGTCATTACTACCCTAATGAAATGATAGCACACCTATCATGTTTAAATAATCTTTACACTCTCAAAGTAGATTTTTATCTGTAATTTATCAGAGATGCTCAAAATTCTATCTTAAAATAACAACACTAGAGGCCAGGTGGTAGATTTCTAGATGTTACTACATTTCTTCAGGTACTCAGGATGCTGAGTATTTTTTCATAATAATTTCAGTCCTAGGAAACGATAATTATCTTGAAGCACACTACTTACACTATTTTATTTCTTAATTACAGTAGCAACATGAAATAAATACATACTTATTGGGATCAAGTGTATATTATTTTGTAGTGATTATGAAGAAGTTCTCATGACAACAATTGCACTCACAAGTGCAAGGTTCTGAGTTGGATCCCCTGTACAAAAAAACAAAAACTGAAACAAAAAGCAATTGCAATTATATGGTCATCAACTATTGATACCAAGTTATGTTTTAGAAACTCTGTAATTATGTCAGGCCAAAAGCACACTTCCTATTTGAGATAAAAGTGTGTGAGACATTGGCCAATGAATAAAATGAGTGGCATAGATACCCTGAGCTTTTTAAAATGATAATATGAATTTCAAGGAAGACCATTATGACAATATTTGAGAGATTTAATTTCAATTTGTGCCTAAATAAGCCATGTAAATAATATTATTTAAATAGTCTTCTATTTTTTATTTTTCAATTATAAAACTTTAAATATATCCCATAAAAATGGGCAATAAATACAACAGTAGTGATAAGCTCTTTAATGATAAATTTTCAGTGTATCAGTAATATTTTCTCAAACACTATTATTGTTTTAAAGTAAGTTTTCATTTAAAAATTCAAAATTAAATTATCTTTTTATTCTATTTTACATTATGTAGAAACCATAAATTGCCAATATAATGAGTCCATAGCTTTTCTACTGTCTTCTATAGAAGTATGTTCATCTTCTTTTTAAGGAAAAAGATGAATGCAAAATTCTACATATAAAAATGTTTGGGTCAGCACATACTATGTATTGGACTAGGAAATTTGACTTCTTACATTTGAATTCTTGGGTGTCACTGGCCAGATATGACCTCAGAAAGTTACTTGGTGCTTTGTGACACAATGTCTTCTTCTTTGAAGAGAGCAACAACAATATCTACATTGTAAGAGCATCAGGAACATTTATCTTTATGTGTAAAAGGCTTAGAATGATGCCTAGCACATAGAAAGTGCTATATAACTTTTAGGCGTTATTGTAATTTAGATACATTGAGGGCAATGGTCCAAGTCTTCATCTCTTCTCTTCTTTCAACCCTGGTGAGGGCTGACAGATAATTTTAGTAATTTTTTCCTCAGAGAATCCTTTTCAGTATTATTGCATGACACACAGAAAGACAATGTCTTTTCCAAAATAAAAAGGGCATTCCAACAATGAACCTGGTATTTTTAACTTCTAATTTCTTACCAGAGTATTGTTTGTTAAATTGCAGTAGATGGTAATGCTCTTATTGTTTTTTACATAAAGGCCTCTTCTGTGGGCATTTCCAGTTATCCAATGACAAGTTTGGGGACAAAAGGTCAAGAATGTAACCTTTCTTGCATGACTACAATTCTAACCAAGTTGTGATGAAAATGATATTAAAATGGTTGCTGCACACCCTTGTTTATTTCCAAATAATCCAAATTACTGCATCAAGCAACATAATTACTTAAAAAAGGAGTGAGCATCCACATAAAACAATAGCCATGAGACATACGCTTGACTTTACTTTGATGTTACTTTACTCTTCAGTTTCAGGTGTTATATTTGTTCCAACATTATTTATAACGCTATATTACTCTTACTTTAATAATAATGAAGTTAATTAAGTACTCAATTGTAATACTTGAGTTGCTCTGAAATGTTTGTAGATTTGTGTAGTAAGTAGAAAAATGAGTCTAAAATGCTTATGTTTGAAAATAAGAGATTCAAGATAAAATACAAAATATTATTAGTAATGTCGAGGTTGTATATTATTATAACAATTATTATTATTAATGATGAACTTTCCCCTTACAATTTATATAAAGTAATGTAGATAAACATGTTACAATTTTTTCTTTCTTTATTATTTTTTAATTCCTGCTAAAACACGAAGGTACTCAAATTTTTGGAATCACTTTGAAATTTTTGGTTGATTTTTACAGAGCAATCTAGATTTCACTTTTCTATAGTCTCTGATACTGAAAGAACAATATAGAAATTCTATAATTTTAGAGTTAAAATTGAGATATTAGAAGTTATAAAAAGATTAATGATCATGGAAAATTTGGGGACCAAATGAAATCAGTTTCTGTAGAAATGCTGATGGTTTTTTAAAGTATGTTTATTTTTTAATTGATACATCAAAGGAAAAAATATACAATTAATGGGGCCCTACATGATATTTTTATACATTGAATAATGTTTAAATCTGCATTTAAAACATATCTAAACATTTTTAAATATTTGTCTCCTCAAAGGTTTATAATTTCTTCATAGTGATAATATTCAAAACTGAAGTAAAAAGAACTTTATGAGACCACAAAGAAAGAAGCTTTCTCAAGTTTGATTCCATTTCCATTTGTATGTACATCTACATTAGAAAAAAAGCAGGAATAACTGTTTAATATCAGAACTTATTTAATTCAGGTTCTTCACTAATCTAATGTCAATGTCAATTTTAAGAGTGGATATATGTGCTGTTTTCCTTTCAAAATTAGATATGTGGCTTTCTACCTAAAAAAAAATTGAATCATACAATTCCAAAGTTAGGCAAAGTGCTCCCTGGAACTTACACTGCCACTTTTGAGTTTAAGCATATGCTGTTGTGTGGTCATTTTTATCTGTCTTTCAGATCAGCATTTTCATGACTCATTTATCTAACTATGGGAATGACCGTCTAGGCTTATACACCTTTGCGAACTTGGCCAACTTTGTGCACAGCTGGACCAACCTGCGTCTTCAGACTCTGCCACCAGTGCAACTGGCCCACAAGTACTTCGAGCTCTTTCCTGAGCAGAGAGACCCGCTTTGGCAGGTAACATTTCACATCCTCTCCTCAGGTGTAAAGAAGGAAACCAGCAGTTTGTGAGTGTCTAATTTGTGTTAGCAACACTGTTGGACATATTAAAAATGGCATTTAACCAAACAGCTCTTTACTCAATAGTCTCATTCTCTTCTTTTTTTAATTATTACTCATTAAGTTTATTGGTACATTTTAGGTATACTATATGGCAACATTCAACATTGGGAATTTGTACCTGTACATGATGTATCTTGGTTCTTATTTTTCCCCATTCCCCTGCCCTCCCTTCAACCCCTCCACCCCTCCTCATTTAAAGACTTCGTTTCTGTTCTTTCCTTTTCTTTTTTAAAAAATTTTATTTATTGGTATATTTTAGGTATACAATATAATGACATTCATCATTGGAGATATGTGCCTTTACATAATCTCTCTTGGTTTTCATTTTTTCCCCATTCCACTGCCCTCCCTTCAACCCCTCCATCCTAACCTATTTACAAAGACTTTGTTTCCATTTTTCCATTTTCTCATATTAACTCCATTCCCTTCTTTCCTTTCCCGTACTCCTTCCACCTCCCCTTCCCCTTTGCCCCTTTTCTTCCTATTTCACATTATCTATTACACCTTTTAGTCCTTATTTACACTTTCAGTTTCTCACTCTAGAGAAATTACTTGGCATTCACACGTGTGTCCTATTTATTTCACTTAAGCGTATCGCCTCAGTGTGCATCCATTTAGTTACAAATGTCTCTAATTTTTCATTTTTTATGGCTGAGTAGCACTCCATTTTATTAAAAAATTTTTTCTTTATCCATTCTCTAGTTGATGGGCATTTGGGCTGTTTCCAAGCTTTAGCTATTACAAACTGTGCTGCTATGAACATGGGCGCACATATATCACTGTGGTATGATTCTTTTAATTCTTAGGGGAAGATACCCACCAGGGGAATAGCTGGGTCAAATGGGACCTCCAGTCCTAGTTCTTTGAGGTATCTCCATACTGATTTCCACAGTGGTTGCA